ACTGACCTAGCTTCAATTTCTTTTACCTTTAATGTGGTCGAATATTTGGCTAGTTACGAACTATTATTATTATTATTACTATTGTTCTGTTATCCATCAGTCAGTTAACTCTAATCAGCCAAATATTGGTGGAAATAATAGATAACAAGTTAGCTAGGCAGATAAAGATAACGGAAACGCCTTTAGTTAATCAATTGAATGAGATTTTCCACAACTTTCTGAAAAGGAATGTTTCACTGTTGTTATTCTAAGTGAAATATTTCTCAAATTTGTAACATCTGATGCAGAGCACAAAGGATCACTTTGTCATGTGACAGCCTTAACAAGTGATTCAATGAAGAAGTAGTTAGTTAGTTAAACATAGCAAGAAGGAGTGTAATACATATCACAATCAAAATACCATTTTCATCCTAAAAAAATCACAAAAATGTCTATTATGGTTTGACTATCTGATAGTAATGATGGATGGTGGCTAGCAGTGGAATCCAGTATGTGCATTTCGTTCTCTTTGAGACTCATCAGCTGGATGTACCTGCTTCCAGTGAGTGATGTTGTTCCTAAACTACGGCCGTAGTTCGGCAGGCTAGTATTTGTATTTGTATACAGCCGCGGTCCAGATTTTCATCTCACCTTCAATCATCACCCAGTACAAAAATGTTTATAAATGTTGAAAAGGAATTAGATACCACAACAATAAAAAAGGTTAAATCGATTTTAACGGTGTTCCTTTCTCTGAGCTGCGTGGTTAAATCGTCATGACGCTTTCATCCCCATTCCAGACATCATTGTCAACACAAAGTGCAGAAAGAAGTGACCGATAAGGTCTTTTCCACAATTTATTTAGTAGCTTGTCCAGATGGCCTTGTGTGTGATTGGTAGTCTCTATATTCATTTTGATTGGTTGTCCTGTTGTTTCTTATTGGTCGATAGATTGAACCAATGGTAATGAATCTGTTGATTGCTGACTGATCTGAATACTAAGATTGTATAAATTCTCTGATATCCCTTGTATTTCCCCTATCTAGTTTTCTTTATGCTTAGACATGAGCGAAGATATATCATACCGCTTCACTGTTACTTGATGTTCATGAAGAGAGATATGAAGAGGGTGACCACTCTGTCCGATATAGTGATTATTCGCATTTTCTCCAATTTATTTTGTCAATAACGTGAATAACCTACTAATGAATGAGAAATAACTAGAAGGCAAGAGTTCATATCATCAGCATAACTGATTAAAATAAACTTAGAGTCAATGAAAAGACCTTGGGAGAAACAACCAATCAAACACAAGGTCATTAGAACAAGCAATCAAGCCACTTGTGAAGAAAACCGCATAGCTCGATTCTCTCAGAAGTTTGTGCTAATAAGTCTGTCTAAAATGGCAATGAAAGCCTCATGATTAAATTCTCAAGCTCATGGAGCAAAACACCGTCAAAACCATCCAACAAATATTCTCCATCTTCGCCATCGTTAAATCTTCATGACTTAAAAATGCGGGGAACAACAACAACAGCAACAATTGATCCCACTTATTGTGTCAGGGCCAATGACACTTTATTAGCATCACCGACGACTACCCAAACTTTAGCAAGTGGAACTGTGTTCACAGCCCACAGAAGTCATGGGTTGGAAGTCAAATCCCTGAATCAATACAGCTAGAATATAACCTAGTGCATAACTACTTATTTAGTCATAACCTATGAGTTTCTCTTACTGGAATTACTGTCTATTGATGGATTTTATTTACAAGTCTAGTTACTTGAATCACCTAAATGTTATTTAGTCTGTTTTGGAACAAAAGGACTTGATCAGAGAAGAGTATGACAATGGTACCAAAACCAGTGCTAGCGTATTCTCCATTCTCATACTAACTAGATACAGTCCACTGAACCAGACCATTTAAACCCACAAACTCGTTTAGAAACATTAATATAAGAGTAAAACTGGCGAACTGTGGTCGAATGTTTACTGGACTACGTTTCGGACATAATCTATTGTCCATAGTCATATCAAGATAACTACACAACTTTAAGATATCCTTTATATAGTCCTAATTTTCTCGTCTCTTTGGGAGATGGGCAGTAAGATTTTCCATATATCCGGAACAGGTGCTGAGTCATTCACGTTACTGCATGTGTTACGTGTTGATTCGATAAACAAAGATTCAGTTATCAACCTCTCCCTCCACCATGTTCTGTTAGTTTTTAGAATTTTCACCCTGTCCCATCCTATTGTGTGATTGTATGTACTCGTATGAATAGCCATGGATGAGCTTCTTCCTGAACTCCTTACCTTACTAGGATCTACCAATTTTGATCTAGTTAAGTTTTTGTGTTCCGATAGCCTAACTGATCCTGACGAAATATACCTATTTATTCATTAACAATAACAAGGCATGTATCAGCGAAGAACAAGCATTTCTTTTCAACAACAACTTCATCATTATCAAGATGTACAGTCGTACTCACACTCAGTAAAGTGACAGATAATTCCACTAAAAAGGGAGTTCCTCAGTCAATATGCAAAAAATATACAATCGGTGTGGGTGATGGTATTTCTTCAAGTGGAAGAGATGGGAAATGAATCACTGTGAATAAGGAGGGATGAGTGGATAACAAGTGGTGAGATAAGTGACTAGTGTTGTCAAGGAATTGTAAAACGGTGATAATTTGGCTGAAACATGCGAAATAGGTGAATGATTAAAGAATAAATTGATATTAAATGGTGAAATATGGTCCATATTTCCAACTTCTGTTAGCTCACGATATAGCGCAAACCGCCACCCAATGTCATCGTTGAGTATTTGTCCTCACGGCCATCAGGCTTTGACTCCTTTGTTCCTCCAACTGATGTCAGTCTACGATGAATAACAACTTGAAATATTTCCAAATCTCCACAACCCCCTTAAAATTTAATTGAACTAGTGCTCGTTGGTGACTAGCTTCGAGAAGTATTCCCGAAGTTCCAATGACAAGTCGTGACCCGTGGAGTCAAAGCCTGATGGCCATGAGGACAAATACTCAGCGATGAGATTGGGTGGCGGTTGCGCTATATATCGTGAGCTAACAGAAGTTGGAAATATGGAGCATTGGATTCTGACCCAGTGGCTCAATGGTAACGCGCTGGTCGCGGAACCTGAAGGTGGCGGGTTCGATCCCTGCTGGTGGGGTCGTGGGTGCGCACTGCTGAGGAGTCCCATACTAGGATGAAACAGCTGTCCAGTGCTCCCAGGTTTCCTTTGTTCCTCCAACTGATGTCAGTCTTCGATGAATAACAACTTGAAATAATTCCAAATCTCCACAACCCCCTCAAAATTTAGGTGAAATATGGATCAAATGTTGTCAATGGAGTGAAAATTGGTGATAATGATGATAACAGAAGAGAAGTATACCAAAATGAAGTGAAGTGAAATTGATAAAATCAATAAAATGGGAATTGTTAAGGCCAAGGTAGAGAAAGCGGTTTCACAAAACGTTTTTGAATGCAATGTTTCAGTTTTTGTTCATATATAGCTAATGCTTCAACTCTGTATAAGTGGTGGAAACGTAAACCTTTGGAGTAGTTCAATTTAACTTTGTAAATTATTTTGAAGGATGAATCTTGAGATGCTGAGTGTCCCAATTCAACAAAGGTGTACACATATGAATGAAGTCGTTTTCCTTTGCCCACCTTTGGTAAGCCAAACGGGGTAGTTTTCAGCAACATGTTTTCGGAGAGCTGATACCATGCCTTGTTCTTGTTAATTGATCCTGGTCGACTACTTTGACCTATGTATTTGACCTCGCAATCGTTGCAAGGGATTTGGTAAACTAAGTTATTCTGCTTAATTAGGTAAATAGGATCTTTTGACCTGCAAAGCTTATTTCGAAGTAAGTTTGTAGAAACAAGCTATATAGGTTATACATGCAGTTACGGATAACCACACAATATAGTGGGATAGAGCGAGAGTATTGTAAACTTAGTTAGATGGAGGGAAGGAGTGATTGATAACCGACTGAATATTTGTTTATGGAATCAGCACTAAGGGCATTCAGTAATGGAGTTGGTTACCTGGTATGAATATGAACAATAAGTTGTGTTCGAATAGCATATTATCCAGTAAATGAAGCTGTTCCTACATTGTGTGTGTGAGGTATCTAATAAACAGACTAAAATGGTAATACAATCCACCACAATGTCCAAGTTTACCTCTTATATCACAAAATTATGTTTTCCTCAACAATTATTACCTTCTAAAAAAAAACTTGAACCGACGCACTGAAGACCAGATGGCCAGAAAGAATAAGCAACAAGGAACTTTGGGAACGGACCAACCAAGAACCTATCACGCAACAAATATGCATTGGAAGGAAGTGGAGATGGATTGGGCATACACTGAGAAGGCCGACTGAGGACATCACGCGTCAGGCCAGGTACTCGAGTGGAACCCCGATGGAAAGCGACGAGTTGGACGCCCAAGGGTGACATGGAGGAGGTCGTGCGAGGAGGAAATGAGAGCTTCTGGGCTGTCGTGGGACCAGGTCCAAACGATCTCAGAGAACAGAGGTCACTGGAGGCGTGCTACTGAAGCCCTATGTTCCACTAGGAACCCAAGGGACTAATAATAATAATAATAATGTAAAAAAAACTTAATGTATACTTCATTTAAAGTGAATAACATGCATATTACATTGATATCATGTGATTTGTCCACGATCACTGAATATCCTCGAATTAATTAATCATTCAATGTTCTTTTCAAAAGAATACCTCCTTTAATCCATGATATTTTCACTCTTGACTAAAGCAGTCGGTAACGTCAAAAAGAAGAAAAAAATGTTTCAATTACATTTAACCAACTAATTTATTCATAAGTAACCAATAATATTCAATCAGCTGATAGTAATTTAAAATATGGCGCCATATTTCCACCTTGTACAATGTTTCAATATTTTATAATATTACCTTGAACATTAATTTGTTGTGTTTTGTTGAATACATTTTTATTGAATTCTTAGTTATCGATTTCAAGTGTATGCCAGTGATCATGGTCAACCGAAGTCATTGACGTCGACATCAACCATTGAAGTGAACATTCTTGATTTGAATGACAATACACCAATGTTTGTTGGATTAGATCGTGATAATTGTTATCATTTTCGTGTGGCTGAAAATCAACCATCGAATACTTATGTTGGTACGTTAAACTAATTAAAAAGGAATGAAGTTGTCTTGTTTTTTTTTGTTGTTGTTGTGAAAATGGCAGTTATTTGACGAGCAGCAGTTGACAGTGTTACCTTCTTACCAAACTCCTCTTTGTAAAGATGGAAGTTTCCACTATACTTAAATATCTATGGAATGCAAAGTTTCTTCTAAGGCCGGACCGAACATTGAACAAAGGATAAATTAAGGAGATATGGAATCGAGAATTAGTATTACCGTGAACAGTGATTCAAATGTTTTACACACTCCTCCCCAAGAGCATCTAGAATATGACAGTTTCGATTGTGGTAATTATAATTTGTTGATTTTGCTGCCTTAATTCGTTGGTCGATCATTGAATAATACACTTTTACAGTTATAGTGGATGGATACGATGACTTCCGCTTACGCACATCATCATCATCATCATTATCAACATAGGATCAGGCATTACTGCGTAACGGTCCCACTTGCCACACCTCATATCAATACATCAAGTAAAAAGGTAGTGAGGTGAAGGATGAAGATAAGTGAATGCAGTCAAAAGAAATATAAAGTACGAGAAGAAAGGAAAGAGGAGTGACAAAATGGTGACATTCGGTATAGCGTTGTTAAGATGAGGATAATGTGTGTGGGCATACATCTGCGCCACTGACATCCGTTCTCAGCCATGTCATCACCTAGAGTCAGTCTCCAACCACTGGTTCCTCTTGTCCCGCCGACCCCAACCACCTAGTCTGCATACACCCACATGGCTTAAACCAACAGTCAGAGACTTCATACATTGGTGCCATGTTTTAGTCTGGCCACCTCGGGTCTTTTTCCAGCTTACGCATATACCTTCCTGGTATCCATTCGCCCTTGTTTGGAAATCCCCATACTAGGCATCAATATACCATTTCTTCAGGTTTACTGGCTCCAATGGATTTCATAAATAGTGAAAGAACTAAATTTTTTTCTAGCTTCTCTACAGACTATCATCGGCTAAAAAGACAATGGAATGTATCTTCTAAAACTGCCAGCTTAGTTATTAAGTTCAGTTTCATGGGACATATGGTCTTCTCATCTGTCTGAAATGTGTGTTATCATTTGCCGTATAAAGACACTTCTTTCTCTGAGGTCAGAGAACACCTCAACCAACAATCATCATAATCATCCTGAGTTGCGAATCTTTTCCAGTTTTTCAAAATTCTTTTCATTCTGTCGAAGACCCCATCTGACCTTTGGAACGCGTGAAATTCCGTTTTCTCTAAGCTCTTAATGTGCTAAGAAGATCAATTGTATAGAAAAAGCTACTATTCTACAACAAAAGAGTTTGATATCTTCTTGGAAATGGATCACTATTTGTTGTCGTTATTTTGCTTGCGTGACCATCGCTTGCCCTATTCCAGTGTTTAAAGAAAGTCCTTTAAGACAGCTGACTCTGAAGACCATACATTCGATCTTGATGATGAGCCTTTTTATGTATCGGCTTTCCATGTATCTGTTACGGAAGAGTAATCGTGTGCGAAATGAACCCTAACTATTCAGAATTTCCTATCTATTGCTCTGAGCTATTAAACACAAAGTATAGTTTCTTAACGTACATGAATCGCCCATTTGTTGATGACCTTTGTCGTTGTTCTTTCTTATAACTTACGAAAGCCAATTGAATAACTTTCAAAGTACCTACCAAACGGCACGACACTGCAGTAAATCATACGTTTTTAAGTAATATAGCAAGTATTTATATATACACAAATTTCAAATCTGATTGGTAGAGAGTTTCAGAGTTGGACACACTTGATTGGTTGATTCTACGCCAATAGCAACACAATGAGCAAGTAAGCTATATAGTGATTTCATTGGTCCATTCAGATTTTGAGATGGACGAAGTGATTCGAAAGCGTCTGTTTGCACTTTTTAACATTGACGCACTATTGTGAGGTCAATACTATAGGAGTCAAGTGAACTTATTGCTCAATAATAGAATATTATTTATTACCAGTCAACAGCTATATGAAAAGACTATATGCCAAGTGATCCACGATAGAAAGCTCAGTGATGCCTTTGAAGTGAAGACAGGAGTAAAACAAAGTGGCTGTCTACTATCACCCAGTATCTTCCTGATTGCAGTGGACCGCATCATTCAGCAAACAGTGAGGAGCGATGAAGAGCGATACGCTGGCTGCACCGATGAAAACAGTCTAGAAGATTTGGATTTCGTCGATGGTTTATGTTTAATGTCGCACAAACTCGAAGATCTACAGGCGAAAACTAACAAGTTGACAGAAGAGGCAGCGAATATTATTATTTTTATTAGTCCCTTAAGTTCCTAATGGAGGCAGAGAAGGAAGACGGAAATTTAAGTGAATGTAAAGAAGAAGGAGGTGACAAAGAAACACAAACAATAACAACGACTACCAACCAATCACCATTAACGGGAGAAATCTAAAGGAAGTCGTCGCTGTCACCTACCTAGGCAAGACAGCACCGTTTCAACTACATACGACACAGGCACACACGAGGATGTCAAAACCATGATCACAAACACAGCAAGATAGGCTTTCATTAATCTCAAATCAGTGTGCAGATCTACTCCACTCCACTCAACTCCACTCCACTCAGCACAAAGTGTGAACAGGATTTGGATTTTCAACACCAACGTCAATCAAGTGAGTCAGTGCTCCTATGTGATGGTTCAGGAACTCGTCGCGTCACGAAAGCATTCCCAACAAACTACAGACATACATCATCAACAGCTGCCACCTACGCTGGCTCGTTACTCAATATGAGATGGTGAGAATAGTAAGAATAAGCAACAAGGAACTGTGACTGGCTGGCTGGCTGGCTGACTGACTGACTGGTAACTGTCCAACCAAGAACCTATCACACCATAAATATGCAGAAGAAGAACGTGGAGATGGATTGGGCATGCACTGACAAGGCCGATTAGGGATATCACGCGTCAGGTCAGGGCTCTTGAGTGAAATCCAAATAAGAAAGGACGATTTGCGCGTCCGAGGCTAGGGTGACATGGAGAAGATCATGTGAGGAAGAAATGAGCGCTTGTGGGCAGTCGTGGTGGCAGGTTGAAAAGACGACTTCAGAGAAGACAGCGAAATGGAGGCGTACTACTGAAGCGGTACGTTCGACTAGTAACTCAAGGGAAAAATAACAATAATAATGATAATAATATATTCACAGTGACTTTGAATACTATTGTACAGCTCTAGCAAATGAAATAGTTGTTGACAAAACTTTTTTACTCTGTTTTATTATTCAATATATTAGTTTTTCGTTCATTTAATATCATTCCTTTGTTTGTTTACTTCCTTTATGGGTGTTGCTGGCAATTATGGCAGCTTGAAATGATACATTTCTGTGCTAAATTCAACGTTGCAGTTTCTCTCTCTCTCTCTCTCTGTTTATCAGATCATCTATATAGGCTGAAATGATTTTGTACATCCAAATTTCTTTTTGTTTTGAGGGAGTTGTGGAGACTTGGAAATATTTCAAAATGTTATTCATTGTAGACTGACATCACTTGCAGGAACAAAGGAAACCCAGGAGCCCTTAACAGCTTTTTCTTCCTAGTATGAAACTCAGTAGTGCGCACCCACAACTCCCTCAAATTTCAATTGAACTGGTGCTCATTGGTGACTAAATTCGAGAGATGATTCCCGAAGTTCCAATGAGAAGTCATGACCAGTGGGGGTAAAGCCTGACGGTCGTGAGGACAGTTACTCTACCATGATATTCGGTGGCGGTTGCGCTACATCGTGAGCTAACAGAAGTTGGAAATCTGGAGGATTGGATTCTGACCCACTGGCTCAATGGTAACGCGCTGGCCGCGGAACCTGAAGGTCGTGGGTTTGATCCCTGAAGGGCGGGCGGGTTTGTGGGTGCGCACTGCTGAGAAGTCCCATACTAGTCGCGCGAAACAGCTACTGTCCAGTGCTCCCACGTTTCCTTTATTCCTCCTACTGATGTCAGTCTACAATGAATAATAACTTCAAATATTTTCAAATCTTCACAACTCCATCAAAATTCAATTGAACTGGTGCTCATTGGTGACTAACTTCGAGAGATGATTCTCGAAGTTCCAATGAGAAGTCGTGACCAGCAGGGGTAAAATCTGATTGTCTTGAGGACAGTTACTCAACGATGACATTCGGTGTTGTGGGTGGGGCTATGCCATGAGCTAATAGAAGTTGGAAATATAGACGATTGGGTTCTGACCGAGTGACTGAATGTTGAGGTGCTGTCCATGGAACCTGAAGGTGGTGGGTTCAATCCGTGGAGGGCGGGCGGGTTTGTGGGTGCGTACTGCTGAGGAGTCCGATACTAGTGAGCTTGGACAGCTGTCCAGTGCTCTCAGCTTTCCTTTTGTCCCTCCAACTGATGTCAGTCTACAATGAATAACAACTTGCAATTTCCTTTTACCCTTTCACATAAACCAACTTTTGTTCAATATTGGTTCAATGTTCAATTTTCTTAAGTTGTAAATGAAAAACCTGAAAGTAATGAATACAATTTATTTTTTCAATCATCCTCTCTTAGGTTAACTTCTTGTTTCATGGTCTAAACACAGTATATATCAGTTAGAGAATTCATATATATATATATATATATATATATATATATATATATATATATTGTTTACATATTAATTATTCATTACATCTGGTGATTAACTTCATAATGCAAAGAAATGAAGTGCGCCAAGTTTATATGTTTGTAAATTGATGACAAGCGGTAAACTGATAAAGGTGACTACCACCTACTGTGGGTTTATAAAAAAAAGTATATCATCATCTTTTATTTTGTCGGCATAACCTGACTGATTGGTAGGGGAATTTCATCTACTTTTGACATTGTCCTTTGTCAAAGTTTTAACCTTTTCATTAATATGCATAAATATTGAATGCTGGCGCCGGTTATTTACCTGACAACTTACCTATAAATATAATAGTCAAACAAAAGTGTCTATGTCATCTGGAAATTTGTTTAGAT